CACATTATACATATACATATACATATAGATACAGATATGGATATAGATATAGATTTATGTGTGTGTGTCTGAGTGTATGTCTGTGTGTATACACACGTATGTACGCGTTCATGCAAACGTATATACGTATGTGGACGTGTGTGTGGGTGTGTTTGTGTGTGTACACGTGCGTATGAGTGAACAGCATACCACGGGTACACTAACTTGCAAAACTATATACTCAACCACCTTCAGAAGTCTGATATTAATATATATAACAGCACATTCGCCACAGAACATTGGTTTACCTCCATACTCCTCCGGAGCTGTGATACCCAACAAGCCCATGTCTCCCAGTTTCTTCCAAAAAGGCCTCAACTGGTCGAAGTTATTTGTTCTGTCTATTTCATTTGCGTACGGGGCCAACTCTTCTTTGGCAAACTTGTGCACAGAGTCTCTCAGCGCTACTTGATCTTCCGTCAGCTGCGACAGTGAATCCGTCATGATCGAACGGCACGCCTGTACCACACACGGCGCACTGCGTGCTGGTACGGATAGACCTCTGAGTTTGACGAAATTAGAAAGCATTGTGAATATGGTTCTTTACTTTGGACTCGGACAGTTGCTGTGTGTATACCTCAATACCTAGACTGTGTTTGATTCAGGTTGTAGGCTTTATACGATATAATAAAGTCAACATGACGTTCACTCTCTCTCGGTGCTCCGCTGTATCTGCAACCGTGCGTCAATATTACTGTAGAGGGGGTCCATAGTTCAATCCAACACTACACTGTAACACACCGGTCACAGATCACATAGCTGACTCACAGTCGGACTATACAAAACTTACCATGTTTTGATTGAGCATCCGTACGTTGACAGGTAGTTTTTAACCAATGAACATTCACTGTTTTGTTTTTGTCCCCTGCTTTATTTTTTGGGTACCCGCGGCTCCCGCCCCTCGGCCTCGGCCATTGGCTTTCGTTGTGGCTATGTCCTCTGTTATTGGGTTTTGGACTTTGGTACCATTGAACAAAGGACAGAGCCGGGTAAAAAAACGAAGATTTTTATAGGACGCTCTATGAGTCTATGTATTTATTTATTTATATTGCACTATCTCTATAGGCATTGAAACTCAACCCTGGTTCGATTTATAGAGTGTAAACCCCCATCCTATGTACAATCGGTCTATTTTTAGGAGAGGATAAGCAGGCCCCACTGCACCAGTGACCAGTTCTGAAAATTGATGACACAAATGTCAAATGTCAAGTGTCGCGAATGTTGTGACACTGACAACAAAATAATATGCGGATGTACAAAACTGATTTTAAATTTTACGCACCCTGCCTATACAGGTGCACCCGATTATTTTAGATAAGTGGTCGAGGGTTAAAATAATGATATTAAAATATATAGTGCTGATGTTACTAAATACTGCATTCCCCAAATCCACGTTCTCGTAGAGACAAGTCCTATTTGCATCATGTTTGCACGCAATACGACACGGGTGTTGAATCTGACCAAGCCCCGCACCCCAAACGCCGCACTGCGTATCCGCCCTCAGGCACTGAAGTTCGGTCCTTCGTCTCGAGCTGCATCCACGCTATCCTCACAAGCACCTGTGAACGCGCACGCACAGGCATCTTCGCGTGGGTTGCTGAGTGCATGCGTAGTTGCGATAACCTGTGTTGTTTATGTGAATGTCTTGGCGACACACCAGGCCGGAGCCCTATGCGAAGCCTCTGTGAATGAGGCCGAGGCCTTGTATGATAGTGGTAACGGTGACAAGGAGAAGGTGAGTCTTGGGTATTTGATATGGAGTGCACAGCAGAAGCTGCTAATGAGTACAATATTGGTTGACGATGTCGGAAATTTGGTAGTAGTATACACAATATTCTTGGATGATATATGTGCTAGTTATAATTTTTTTTGTATTGGTGTATATATATATATATATATTATATATATATATATATATATGTATATATATATATGTATGTATGTATGTATGTATGTATGTATGTATGTATATTTATTTATATAAATATATATGTGTATATAACTATATATATATATATATATATATATGTATATATATATATATATATATATATATATATATATATATATATATATATATATATATATATATATATATATATACACACACATACATACATATATATATATATATATATACATATATA